GTGTCCTCTCCGTCAATCATGCGGTAGTCACGTGAGTGACGCAAGCTGAGCGGTTGACTCAAGACTCTCACGTCGAACATCTTCTATGCTCGACTTTCCCACACGACCCCTTATTCAAGTTTTATGATTAAGATCACCGAGATTGCTTCGTGATGATCTGAGCCTCCATTCAGACTTGGTACTTGAAATTCAATCAACGCGGACAATGCGTACATCTCCGAAGCTGAGCTGCGTTCTCACTTACTCGTGAAGACCCACGACCACGCATCAAGAAATCGAAGTCAGGCAGGCAACTAAGATGCCAAATATGCTACATCCTCTGCTTATGCCGGTAGTGTATTTGTTCGTAAGGTCAGACTCCAGCAGACGCCGCCGTGCGGTTGCGTCTATGAACTTAACTCTTTGAAGCTCGGGAAACATGCAAAATTTTCGCACCGTCACGCCGTAACTCCTCCCCCCTTCTCAAATCGATGAAAGCTTGGTAGAAAATTCGGATGCGAGCTGCTTTCGTTGCCTTTTGACTTGCGCGACCTAGCGCCAAACCAGAGCGAGGTGCTACACCCTCATGACTCAGCCTCTTGAGTGCTTTAATCAATTCGTCCAATCTTTTCAAAGTTCGATTAGTCTTCATCACGACACGCGCACGCTTCTTCTTCGGTACATCCTTGAATGCATCCTAGCCATTCGAATCAAGAATTGATGATCGAGTGCTGCGCACCCGTCAATCAGACATGCTGGGAGCCTCGAATGTGATGAAGGCGATCGAAGGCCCGTAAGACCGCGGAAGCAGATCTCGGGGCGCTCAACATTCACTGGTCTGTAATTGTCGCCTAATGCGGTTGATCGAATGTTCCTCGAGATGGTCTCTTTATTTGCTTCAGCAACCGTTCGAAACCAACAAGCAATAAGTCTTATCGCAGTAGTTTAGTTCACAGGTGAACTATCGCCACATACTTGATAGCTTTGTGGGATCGAGCTCAGTCCGACGACCATCATGATACCTCGAGCAGGCCTGCCATAATTGTCCAGCTCGCCAGCTGAGGTCAGGACCGGCTCGCTGTGCAACAAGATGCCCTCTCGGCGCATCTTTTCGAACTCTTCGGCGGAACACTCCGGGTGACTGCCCGATGCTTTCGGTCGTACCTGACTAACTTAATTGCTAGGGCCTCCGCCGCGAAAGTCTTTCCGCTCATCGACGAAAAATTGTCAAGACGGCAGTCGCGAACACGTGCGACTGTGAGCGCGGTCATCTTGCTGAGCGAGCGTCGCAAGAGAACGATGGCTCATCAGAGTCACCGTCCACCGTTCTGCTTTGCCGACTCGACGGGCTGCCTGGGAGGGATAAGCTCCGTACTCAATCTTAAGTCATCAAATAGAGTCCGTTCTGACACTCAACTCCATCTCGGCCGCTGCATGTTCTTGATTGACCAAGGTCCTACCGTACAGCCAAAGTGTGAGTCACGTATTGAAATTGGCGTCCGGCATATGAAGCGATCTTGGAGATAAATCGACCGTGAGAGCTGGAATCGGCTGTCGTGCATGCAGGACGAAGATCGCCAGGAGCAGCGATCGCGAGGCAACAAGGTATGCTGACCGCGCTGGACAGATTCACAAAAGGCTATGCCGACGTTCGCGGCAGCAAAAGCTGCTGATGATAGCGGGTGACTGACTGCGCTCGTCACTCACCGGTCGCGTTGTGTGTGCGCAAACCTCCAATCGTGAATTGGGCAACCACAGTCTTGAGTCATGAGTCCTCGGACTCGTTGGCCGCCTCATGCGCTGCGTCATCGATCGCATCATCAGCGTGACTCTGACTCGTGAATTGTGAGTGGTGAGTGTCAAGATTCCAGCGGATGCTCGCGCGTACATGCCATGATGCGCATGAGAAGAATCTGAATGAATCTTGAATGTCGAAGTAGCGCTATATATATATAGAAGCAAAACCCAGGGCCGCTTGTCTCCCGACCTCTATATTCCTGATTCGAGCATCAACTACAGACTACAAAACGATTCACTTGATTATTTGAGCTCCAGACTCCAGATTCATCTTCGCCTTTCTTCGTGTTACATATACGGCTGCCGCCTCAATGATGGCCTGCAGCATATGCTGCATGCAAGCCTGACGCGGAGCACTTCGGCTGTATGGTCTCATGTTGACTGATTTTGACTACTATACTCAAGACTCACGACTGCGCGGTGAGGCGCGCCGCATCACATCTGAGCTCCTGCACCGCGGGCCTCGTCTGCTGCACAGATGCATCATGCCGCTATAATTGCGCTACCCTGGCTG